CGAAGGCCCCCCGCTCCCGCTGGAGCCGGTCCAGCAGCCCGAGGCACTTGGCCGCGCAGGACTTTGGCGGCGCCGCGAGCGCCGGCCGGCTGACGACGTACTGCCACCACCAGTCCTTGGCGCACTTGTGGCCGCCCCAGCGGAGGTCCACGGGGTCGCCCTCGCGGTAGGCCTCGTGGCGCTTGCAGTGCCGCCCGGGGCAGAACCAGGGCTTCGGCGGCATGTTGAAGTGCACGTACTTGAGCTTGCACGTGCGGTGCGACAGCGAGTAGACGGACCTCGTTTTGAGCGAAAAGTGGTACTCGGCGAAGCCCTGGTCCGTGAAGCCGGCGCCCATCTGGTCCCAGGGCGACTGCGTGAGGCGCATGCGCTTGCGGCCGTCGCCGGGCCGCCGGCGCATGGCCCACGCGTGCGGCCCGAAATCCTTGCGCGGCTCCGAGACCTTCTCGGGCAACGGCGTCGTCGCGTTCGCGTCCCAGCCGAGGTGGTAGACGCGCTTCTTGTTGCAGACGGCGCCGCCGCCGCAGGCGCGCTCGAGGTCCGCGGCGAAGGCCCGCCAGCGGTCGATCGACGGGAGCGCGACCATGAACGCGGTGAGGATCGGCGTGCCCGCGGTCTGCTGCGCCGCGATGGCGACGTCAGTTTCGCAGATGCCGGCGTCCGTCTCCGGCCAGCAGCGCTCGTGCTCCGCCGGGTCCCGGGCGAGCGCGGCGCCGCAGCGGTAGGTCGTCTCGTCCGCGAGGAGGTGGCGCAGGCTCCCGACGACGATCGTGTCCGTGTCGAGGAGCAGCACCTTGTCGTAGCGCGTCATCTTCAAAACGTAGAACTTGCGCATCAACAGGTAGTCGCCGAAGAGCTTCCCGTAGGTCCCAAAGTCCATCTCCTCGGCGACGATCGCGTTCGCCTCCAGCGACGCCTTCAGCGGTTCCGGACACGGCGCGTCGACCATGGCCACAAAGTCGGCGTCCGGCACGTTGCCGAAGCGCCGCACCGTGTCGCGCAGCACGAGCACGGCGCAGAGCGACACGCCGGCGGCGCAGGCGTTGGACGAGTCCGCCGCTTTCACGCTGCGCGGGCTCCAGCCGTCGCTCTTGCCCGACGGTTTCGTCGTGAGGAGCACGGCGACGGCGGACGCGGCGCGCGCGACGGCGGGGAGGACGCACGCGACGAGGAGGCGCAGGGCGCGCATGGCGCGCTGCTATCGTCGCGGGGCGAGGCGGCAGCGCCGGCGATTTTTCATCTCCATCGTGTGCCCAGGGCTGCGTGTGCAGTGCTCCTTTGGCCTGGCGCCGCCGTCGGCCAGCATCTCCGGCCAGCTTGAGACCTCGAGGAAGCTGCGCCGCCGCCAGCGTCGTCGACGCCCGACGCGAGACAACACGATGGTCTACCTCCGCGCCGACGGCACGGTCGTCGAGAAGCGCTCCATGTGGCGCCTGTCCATCGTCCCCGACTTCCTCTGGGGCGTCGTCGACTTCTTTTGGCTCTTCGTGAGCACGCTGATCAACCCCCAGAGCGAGCACAACTCCCTGCGACCAAAGCGGAGCTCCGGCGGCGCGACGGGCCGCGGCGGCGGCGGCGGCCGGCCCGGCGGCTCCGGCGGCGGCGCGCGCAAGGTCAAGGGCCTCAAGGACTGCTCGTCGTCGAGCATGTCCGCCGCCGGCGCGGGCGGCTGAGGCTAGAAGCGCCCGAACCCCCGCCCCCGCGGCGTCGGCGAGCGACCTGCTCGCGCCATGACTCGCGCGCGGCGCACCCGTTCCACACGACGGGAGCCGCGCGCGACGACCACCGACGCCGCGGGGGCGGGGACC